AAGCCACGATAACCTGTGCCCTGAAATGACACAGCACATAGAAGAAGAAGAAGAAGAAGAAGAATATAAAAATATTATACAGTCCAAATAAGTCTCATTTATAAAAAGAATGTTCCTGTATTTACACTTTGGTTGATAATAACTATCTTTATTTTCCTAAATATAGTTTATTGATTTTATAATTAAAATTAACTATTATAATAAAGATTTGATATTCAATTATTGAATGTTGTACATTTAAAATATATTTACATAGTGCATACATATTTGGTTCCCAATACACACACACACACACACACACACACACACACACAGAGGAACATACACTAATTCAATATTTTTAAAATCTTTTTCAAGGTTTATATCTCTTTGATATTTGAAAATCTTTCATACATGCATTGATGTTTTAGCCAAAAATTAAATTTAAATAATTCAAAATTCATATATTTGTTATTAAAAAGTGTAAAATGTTATCAAAATTAAATTAGGTTTGTATCAAGATATTGCTAGTAAAATGACTGAATGCACTGTCTGATGTTGTTTGTTCTCATGTAAGTTTGAAATGTGTGACATTTAGTGCTGACAGTGATCTGAATATCATGTTGAAGACTTAGTTAATTTCTGAATGTTATCTTTATATGAAGTAGGCATAAAAATATTTGAAAAGATATTTTATTTTAATTTATTGTATATTGTCAAGTTCAGATCAAAACTAAAATAATACAAGATACTGGCACATGATAAATGCTTGTTATAAGTTCAGTCAGTTCATTGTAAAATTTCTCTTAGTATTTTTACCTTTTTCTGCTATTTTTCTCTTTCTCTTTCAAATGATCTTTTTTTAGTCTAAATAAAAAGTAATAATATTGCTGGAATCCCTGAAGCCTATATTTACAATTGACTTTGATATTGAGCCCCCAACTCTTTTACAAATGAATTGGATGTTTAGTGATATCTGAAGAATTTATTAGTTGGAATGTGAAAACAACAAAATGAGAATGTTAGTAAAACAACCAGTGGATTAAATAATTATAGCTTTATATATATATATATATATATATATACATACATACATACATATATATATATATATATATATATATATATATAAAAATTAAAAGGTAGTTGAATCTAAAATTAATGACTGAAAACTAAAGAATACATTCAAAGTGTAAACCAAAGTCATGAATTTAGTGAAATACACTTTCATTTTTTTAATAACCAAAGGAAAATTTTCACAATTTTAAGCATTTATATATGGGAGCTGATAAGATTTATTTTTAAATAATGAAACAAGTTTGTGGGTAAATTTCTTTTACCTGTGGTGATACTTATATTCTGTGTGAAAAACAAGTTGATTTATGGATCTGTTATTCAATGTGTGTTTAGAACTTTCCTGGTTAATCAGTTTTACCATGTGCCCTGTTGGTTGTCTTTAAGACTCATAATAGGACTGCCAGATAAAAGCCAATAGCTCAGAAGTCATTTAACAATCCAAACTTGACTATTTCTCTCTGTTTTGCTCTCTCACGTTCTTTGTCTCTCTCTCTTTCCGAAACACACATGTGCATATGCATGCATGCACACACACACACACATGTACATGTGTAATGCTAACTAGTATTTATTTTATAACCAGCTCATTAACAAAATACATAATTTTCTTCATTTTCTATCAAAACTTGGAATACAAATGAATTTATTGCAGCAAATTTTCTATATTGATTATATAGTGTACTGATTAAGTTGTAATAAACAATTCAGTCCTTTTATCATCTTTTACTAATATAAGAATAAAATTAAAGGAAATTAATAAAGTTGAAACAGCTTTTAATAAGTGCAAAATATTATTTTTAGAATCTTGACTGATATGATAAAAGTAAAAAGAATTGTTGCCAAAATGATAGAAGTGTGTTAAAATCCTTTGGACAGGTAGAGTTAGCCCATCACCCATCATAATGGAGCTCTTTCCTTTCATGTTGGACAGCATAGCACCTGTCAGAGAATTTCTCTCTGCTCATCCATCATCTTTTGTCATTGCTTCTGTTGATAGTGGTGCTAATGTTGATAAAGTGGTCATCTATTTTTGGGCTCCAGTTCTTCTGATGAACCTGTAACTTTCTTCTTTCAGACATCTTCTGTTCTCCATTCATATCTTAGTCTTTCGTAGTCTGAAACCCTGCCAATATTGGGAATATTTTTCTTTGAATCTATATTGAAAGATTTTTTGGTCCTTAAATTGTTTTCATTTCTCAAATATGCAATTTTTTTCCTTGTGCTTTTTGATTGTTTTTTTGTGGATATGTTGCTTAAGTAAGTGAACAAATGACTGGGTAGAAGTATTAAAAATGTGTTTTTTTATGCAGAAGGGTTTGTACAGATGAGAATGTGCATGTGTGTTCAGATGTGTATAAATTATGTGTTTATATGTGTATAAATTTATTGCATTAGCTACAATTTTGTTGTCTTTATTTTAGTATCTCCTTAAATGAGATGAGGT